AATAGAGGCTTTCAGTGGTAACCTTTCCTACAGCAGACAAGGACTAGACTTGGTCTAATTGTCTGCACATTTGTGTGGAGGTGTCATACACGAGGCTGGTACACAGCTTCTTCTGGCTCTTAAGATTACTGTCAGCTGCAGCTGCATGCCCCAGGAATGCAAAGGTGTCAGAACTGTATGATACACTTGATAGTCATCCCTGCCACCAACAGAACTTGATTGCCGTCTTCTGTTGACTTTCCTAGTGAAACTCCGGGAAAGACTTCTGGATGTGGAGCTTACTCTCCCCAGTGGGCTCCGTGGGGGCCTGTGGTTTATAAAGGTGTCTGTTTACTGCTCTATTCTGGGATCTTGATGTGTCTCTTAGAGTTGTGTGGGCCACTAGCAAGTTTCAGTAGGCAGTTGGTGGCTTTAATTGTTCTCCATATTGCTCATTTGGCTTGCACTGGAAGGATCTGCAAAGAGCCTGCTTTGTGAATCCTGTCCTGAGTAATGACTGAGCTGTTTGTGGCAGAAGAAACGCAGCCATGGAGCTTACATATTGAACATGTATCTACCTGCAATTTCAATCTGAGGTTTGGCAGAGTGAGAAGGATAAAAGAGCCTAATGGCAGACTCCACTGTCAGTGACTCAAGAACACATCACAAAAGTGTACTGAGAAGATGAGGTGAATCTTGCAGCAACAACGTGTTAAGTTTGTTGGTAAGCTGTAAATGGCATGATTCCCTGCACGTTGGAGCTACCTTGAGACAGGCTACCCTTGAATTTTGGAGCCTTATATAGTGTAAAGGGAAGTCTTGCAAGTAGACTTAAATCAGGGGTGTGCACTGTTACACTGGTAGACTTCAGCTGGCTTCAAAGAGCACATTGCTGAAGCATCCTTAACCAATATCAAGTGTTAAGTGATCAGACTGCTTGAGAGTGCCTTATCAGCACTCTGTGGGGGAGCTAAGCCCACTGCTTCTTTAGAAACACTTTGTTAACAGTCTTTCTCCTTGATTAGTTCTGTTCTCCTGATTCCTTATTTAAAGGTTGTGAAGTACTTGCTCTGTGCTAGTTCATAGAAGGGAGGAGTCCTCTAAAGGATAAGCTGTTCTCATTGTCTGTGGGAGATAGATGGAGTTCACAGTTGAAGTATTGGAGTTAAACAGGCTGTGTACTCAGGGAAATAAAACAAAGCTGGAGGAAAACCAATTTTTGAATGAAAGGAGGCTTTAACAGACTGCTTTAATTTGCTTAATGTTTTGCTACAGGCTGGACTGCTTTGGCAATTAAGAGTGAATAGATGAGAAATAACTCAGTACTTGAACCCTCTGAGTCAGTGGGAAGTTAAATTTTGTCTATTCTACTACTACTGACAAATGCAAACCTAGATTCTGAAGCACGCACGCTCCCAAACTGTTAATATCTCTCTCAGTGAAAGACTTGAGAAATGCAGTCAAACTGATGCTCCACGAGCACTGCAGCAGCCTTGTCTGTTATCAAGCAGGATGAACAGACCATGGCATAAAACAGTGTCACTCTGTATGTCTTGTGCAGTTCAACTTAATCTGCAGTAGTTCGTTTGCTGTAGGAATTATCACTCCAAAATTCTAATAAATGGACTCAATCTCTTGGCTTCAAGCTGCACCACCACATTCAGCCTCATACAGTGCTCACAAGACTTGCTTTTCTGAACTTTGTTACTGCTGTACACTATACCTGTTCTGCTAATACTGTCATTTGACAATGAACATCAAGGCTCTACTGTGAAATTCATTCCAGTAATACTCGGTTGCCCTGCAGAAGGTGGTCTGCTCATTCTCTTTTCCACAGTGTTGGCTTATTTAATTACTCATCAAAGAGCTCATAGAAATAACTGACATTCCTAAAGATCTGCTAATTATTTGCTCTCTCCTCTTACATTTGGGTTCTGAAATTTTATGCCAGGGTATATTTCTTTCTTTCCAGGGGTTTTAATGGTGGTCTATAGACTGCTGACGTTGGTTGGTCTCAAACTTGTGCCTGTGTGCTCAACAGAAGAACTTCTGAATTTATTTTGGACAGCTGGCTGGTTTCAGCAGTCTATCAAAATAAACCATTTGAAATAAATTCCAGTTAAAACTGCTTTGCTTGCTGAAGCTTTGCAGATAAAACTGAAAGATCTGAAGTTGTAAGTCAGTGCAAGTAGTGGAGAATAGTTCTGATTAATGATCTAAAAAAAAAAAAAAGCAACTGAATGTCCGTGCAGCTTGAAACTGCATGATTGAGTCCCGTTTCTAAGACTTTGGAGAGATACTGCAATAGAAGTGATCTACTGCAAGACAAAATCTAGAAATTGTTTTTGAAGTTATTAGTATGCCAGAACTCACTGCTGAAAGCACACAGCTGGTGATGGAGTTCTAAAAAAGCACAGCCTCGTTCAGTGAGGAGTACATGGCAGTGTTCTCTGTACTGACCAGTGAGTTGGCCATGTTAAGGGCAGTGTCACTGGGGGTTGCTGTAGCCCTGTGGGCATGGAGCAGCACCCTGTCCTGCCTGTGCTGGGAAAGGGCTGCTGGGAGGTGTGCAAGGAGCTGCTGCCTGGTGCTGCAGGCTGCACTGTTGGTGGCTGGGGAAGGTGAGCAGATGGGGCTGAACAGAGGTGTGCAGGTGGGTGCTGCTGCTTTGAGGCAAGCCATCTAGTGCAAAGTCATCTATGGTAACTAAGGGAATGTGGTAAAACAGAACTGGATGGAATCACAGAAATGGGATGTTCCCATCTGGAAAAGGCTCACAAGGATCACTGAATCCAAGCCTTAGCTCTGTGTAGTACCATCCAAATCTGAAACCCTGTGTCTGAGAGCTGTGTCCCAATGCTCCTTAACTTCCAATGGCTTGGGGCCACGGCCCTTCAGTGCCTGTTCCGGTGCTCCTTGGCTTGATTTCTTCCTTTGTTTAAAGGAGGGAATGGATGTTAATCTTTCTTACTCATCCTACCACCTGAGGAAACCTCAGTGTCTGTCTGTGGAGTCTGGAAATACAAAGGCCACAGGAAAGGAGCTATAGGAACTTGCCGTGTTCAAGCTATACTGGCTGGCAGATCTGTCTAAGGTGGCAGAGAGACCAAAGCTGAAACTGGTGGGAAGAGCTAAAGGTGATGAGCTGCTGTGTCTCTTACAGCCTTGTCCGCCTTCTTTTTCATCCTTGGTCAGGGACAGCAGTTCTGGTCTAGTGGTTCCTACATGCCTCTAGAACACAGCTAAAATCATTAAGATCTGAAGCTGTGTTCAAACAGGTAGCTGTCTGAATGGTCCAAGGGGTAATTGATTGTGCAGAATGCTCTCTTTAATTACGAGTGAACAGTAGAAAGTCATGAGTACAGAGTGAAATTGGCAATAGTGGATTTAGAACTTAAATCCCAGTTTTTCCTTAAACTATAAGCTTGTGGAACTTTAAATAGTGCAAGAGATGGCTGGTAACAAAGTTCCTAAGACCGAAAAGAATGTAAAATTAAAAGCTATTTGTAGATGTACTTCTGATGGTAAGCCTTTGTGCTGGTTAATACTTACGAAGTGTAAAATGTTCTCCTTTCTAAAGGTTACTTTCAGTAAAGACTTCACTGGGATGCATAGCCCAAATGTTACAGTGATGGGCAGATTGATTTCCATGTTACTGAGTTCTTACATATGAAACTGATAGTAGTGGGGCAGAGCTGTTCCTGTAGTTGCCAGTTACAACCAGCCATCCTGGAAGTCTCAGTTCTTAGTACCATGTGTGATGTACCATGTGTACCATGAGCTTTGTCTGATTGGAGATGGGCAGCTCTTCTGAGGTAATGGTGCTGTTCTGATCCAAAGTGGAAGAAGATGTTGAAGAGATTGCTTTTTATTTGAGAGCAGGAAGTATGTTCACTTAAATCAGGAACAGGGCTTACTAGTGAACTTACTAGTGTTCTGGAAGCTTTTGACTTGAAATGCCTACTGTGCCTGTGATGAGTCTACAGAAACATGCAGGAAAACTGACCTGGGTTCTTGTGCTCTTCACTGAGTGTCTCCTGAAGCTTTCACTTCTGTCCTACTGGAAATCTTCTGCAGTTTGCACAAATATCAGATCTGTTCTCCCCATCTTTAGCTATACCTTGGCATTCTTTATTTTGTGATCTTTCTTATAAGCTCACTTAAAAAAAAGTGAATTGTGGAATGCATGCTATTCTCTCTTCCTATTTGTTACTCATGTGTTTCAGTGCACCAGTTCTGCCTCCTCTGCTCCAGGTCAGAGTAGCAACTGATGGAAGTTCTGATAGATCAGTGCCTTCAGACTTTTAGATGCTGCCATCTCCAACATGCTTCGAGGAGGCCTTGTGACAACTCTGTTAGTGCTATTGATGGAGGAGGACATGTGGAGTGGCACTGTTTGTATTGCATTCAGTCAGTTATGATCAAAGGAATGTTTGGCATTCCTTAGAGGGCAAGAAGCCCTTGACATGCTTCATGTAGTATTGTCCTGATGTGCTTTGCTTATAACTTACACCTCTTCATCTCTTCTGCTTTGTTGTGAGTGTAGGAATGTACACATCTGTCTGTAGTCTTCTGGCTCCTTATATGGATGAAGATTGATGCTATGCTAGGCAGCATCCATGCAAGTGGGACACGGGGTATATACAGTACCTATTTGTACTGATGCTTCTGTGTTCAGTGCTTTGTTTCTGGTGTGTATAATATTTCAAGTATAATAGCAGGTATGCTTCTAAGAAGGCTTTCAAACAGTACACTTCTCCCTTAAGTTTTAAAGGTTCTAGTGGGATATTCCTGTCCAGAGGATTCCCAGTTGTGGTGGTGAGATTGGAAAAACTTGTAGTTATGCACAGTTGATTAGTTAAGAACTTCTGTTCAAAGTGGCTTGGCTGAAGAATGTGGGATTACTGCACGTTGTTTTAAGAAATGCTGCTAATGCCTGGGGGAAGCAAGTAGGCTGCCTGACTTTTGCAGGTGTCTTTAGCTGTATTTAAACTAATGCAGTGTTTTTTCTCTCTCCCTAGTACTTTTGTCCATCTGTTCTCTGTTGTGTGATCCCAATCCAGATGATCCTTTAGTGCCTGAGATTGCACGGATCTACAAAACAGATAGAGAAAAGTGAGTATGGAAGCCAAAAGTGTAACGTACACAGAGTTGATGCTTTAATAGTAAAAGGGAACTGAGGAAAAAAAAAAAAAACAACCACGCAACTTGGAGAGAAGTGTGAACTTCCATTTTTTCCTTCCTAACACTGTAAACGTGGTGGATTTAGGTTTTCATGGGTTGTGTAATACAGCTGTTTTGACAGCTTTTCATTGCTGTAGGAAAAAGACACATTTTCTGGTAGAAGTAAGCAGAGACATTGTTCTTCTTTGAGTTTCTTACTGCATTTTCATTGTGCACAATAGTTTTTCATTAGTGTGGTAGCTGTTAATTGCAGGTTTGCTTAATGAAAATGTAAAGTGAACAGTGCAGATCTGTTTCATATGATGCTAAGTTAAGGCTTCTAAAATCTCACCAGTTTTACTGTGTGCTTTAATCCTACATAGCCAGCAGAGGGAGAACAAGTTACTTCGGTGGGAGGATGTTTCCATGCTAGCTGTTGTTGACGGAGTCATGCAAGCAAAGAAATAACAAAATACTATTTCATCTTCATTTGACAACCCAAGAAAAGAACAAGTGGTGTAGAGAGAGGGTGGGAGGACACAAGCTTCTTCTGAGGTCAACTGCAAAACTGAAGAGAAGTCCACTCATGAGAAGGTTTAAATTGTTTTGTTTAAAAGCACCAGTTTAAACATAGAAGCATAGAATGGTTTGGGTTGGAAGGGACCTTAAAGCCCATCCAGTTCCAATCCCCTTGCTATGGGCTGGTTGCCCTCCACCAGCTCAGGCTGCCAGGGCCCTGGGCATCTCCAGGGATAGGGCACCCACAGCTTTTCCAGGCAGCCAATGCCACAGCCTCACCACCATCTGAATAAAGAATTTTCTTGTCACCATGTAACTTAAGTCTCTCCTTTTTAGTTTACTGTTCCCCCTTATCCTGTTGTCAGATCATGCAAGAAGTCGATCTCCTTTAGGTACTTGGAAGGTCACAGTGAGGTCTCCCCAGAGCCTTTTCTTCTCTATGCTGGAGAAGCCTGGCATCCTCAGGCTTTCCTTGTGAGGAGGGTACTGCCACATTCTCAATGTCATCTTGGCCTCCCCTGGACCTGCTCCCCCAACCTCATGTCTGTCCTGTGCTGAGGGCCTGGGGCCTGGATGCAGTATTCCAGGTGGGGCTCATGAGGGCAGAGCAGAAGGGGACAGTCCCTTTCCTCACCATCATGGCTGTGTCCCTTTGTTGGTGCAGCTCAGAATACTGTTGTCCTTCCAGGCTGTAAGCACACTAGAACCCCAAAGCCTTTGTCTTCAGGGCTGCTCTCAGCTCTTATCATAGAATTACAAGGTTGGAAACGATGTATAAGATCATCTAGTCTAACTGTCTTCACATCACCATTGCTACCACAAGCACTAAACCAGATCTTGCAGCTCCTCATCCAGATGCCTATTGAACACTGCAGGGATGGTGACTCCACCACCTCCCTGGCAGCCATTCCAGTACCTGGCCACTCTCTGAGAGAAAAAGTTTTTCCTCGTGTCTAACCTAAACCTCCTCTGGTACAACTTGTGGCCATTTCCCTGGCTCCAGCTCGTTGCCTGGGAGAAGAGGCAGGTTCTACCTTTTACCAGCCTGTATGCGTGTCAGGGATTGCCCTGACCCAGGTGAAGCACCTTGCACTTGGCCTTGTTGAACCTTGTTAGATTCACTTGTGCCCACTTCTCAGCCTGTCCAGGTCCCCCTGGGTGGCACCTCTTTCTTCTATGGTGTCAACTGCACCGTCCATCTTGGTCATCAGCAAACTTGCTGAGGGTGTACTTGATTTTGCTGTGTCCTTCATAAAGGTGTTGAAGAGCACCAAAATGGACTCCTGAGCTTGTGACCAGCCTCCACCTTGTCATGGTGCGGTTGACCCTCTGGCTGTGACCAACCAATTCCTTATCCACTGATTAGCCCACTCTTCCAATGAATTTCTTTTCAGTTTAGACACAGTGATGTGGTGTGAGGCCATGGAAAAGGCCTTGCAGAAGCCCAGGTGGATGACAGCAATTTACCTTCTTTTCTTTACCAGTGCCATGGCTCTATCATACAAGGCCACCAGGTGGATCAGGCACACTCTGCCCTTGGTGAAGCCGTGCTGCCAGTCTCTCATCACCTCCTCATCTCAGTGCTTTCCGAGAAGATCTGCTCCATCTTTCCAGGCGCAGATGTTGAGGGTCACATGCCTGTAGTTTGCTGGGTCTTCCTTTCTCCCCTTCTTGAAGGTTGGGAGTGATGCTTCCCTTTCTGCTGTCAGTGGGTACCTCACCTGACAGCCATGACTTGTCAAATACGATGGAGAGCAGCTTGGCAACCACAGCAGCTGCTTCTCTCAGGATCTTGGGTTGCACATTGTGTGGCCCCATAGACATGTACACATTGAGGTGCTCTCAGGCTTGCTTGCTCCTAGCAGTGGGAGGGGTTCTGCTCCCCCAACCCCTGCCCAGAGGCTTAGGGATGTGAGGGATGTGGGAAGCCTGACTGTCAGTGGAGAGCAAAGCAGAGAACTCACTGAGTAGCACTGCCTTCTTTGTAGTTGTAGTTGCCATGTGATCATGTGAGGTTTTTTTTTTTTTTACCTCCTTGTTCCCATCCAGCTCTGATCGCTGGTGTTAATTCCTGAAGTTACAGAGAGCAAGGAAGGAAGGGAAAATGATTCTCAAACTTGTGTGTTTGAGAAATAGGGAACTCTGTACATCTTGCTTTTAATCAGAGCTGTGAGATTTTCAGTGCACGTGTCAAGTCTCAGCTAAGTGTATGATTGCTCTTTCCTATTTACTGTATGTAGGAGCTTTTTCCCCTTCTTCCAGAGTCAGAAACTTCTGTGCTTACACATATCTGGACTTGGTTTTGAGTAGTGTCAAAGCAAGTGACAGTTTTCCTGTGGTTTCTCAATTTTCTTAAGCTAAAGAACTTTGTCTACAGACTAAATTGCAGCACAAAAACTTGGTTGGTATAAATAACTAGAAAACTTCCTGCCTTGTGATGCTTTATCTGCAAACTCTGTAGAACAACTTGAATTCTGTAGTCAGAAACACAACTTTTATTAGTACTGTAAGTCACAACCACTGCTTTGTTTTATGTAGTTATCCTGACTTCCTCTGATGTGATTCTGGCTGTAAAGGGGAGCAGAAGCTCCAGGTGGCTGGGAGAAAGGAGCAGAGTGTGCCTTCAGAATAAAAACTTGTAGTGGACGAGTCTGTGTGTCCTGGTAGCCATGAACACAAAGCTAAATGCAGATGAGCATGTTAGGATTTGGCACTTCGGGGTGTCCCGGGTAGTGGGCTTAACTTCCTGGGGGAGTAGGAGGGCGACACTGATCTGTGCTTTTCCAGAATGCCTAAATTAAAACCCTGCAGTAGAAGTTTTCCAGGGATACAGCAGCTGGGAGAGGAGCAGGTGAAACCTTCTGGAAAATACTTCTCACACCTGCTCTGGGTCTGTTTTGTGGCTTGAATCACAAAGAGAGCCTTCGCTCTAAATAGGGCACGTTTGGTTCTTCTCCACAAAGTGCAGTGGGGTTTTGTTTGTTTCCCTGCTGGCACAATACTTCCATTTGCTCCCTTTAATTTTACAAAACGATGCTGCTGGAGGGTCTCAAGTTCATGTGGTGTTGTTACAGACTGAGCTGCGGGAGCTGGAATGCTATGGGATGTTATGTTAAGTAAATCCTCTTTTTATACATACAGGTACAACAGAATAGCTCGGGAATGGACTCAGAAGTATGCGATGTAATTAAAGAAATTATTGGATAACCTCTACAAATAAAGATAGGGGAACTCTGAAAGAGAAAGTCCTTTTGATTTCCATTTGACTGCTTTCTATGAGCCCACGCCTCATCTTCCCCTGTGCACATGTTTACCTGATACAGCAGTGCTGCGTGTTGTACATACTTGGAACAACAAAATAGAAATACTGTATTTCCCCGTACCAACATTGACTCCTAGCAGAGAAGTGTGTGTGTGAAAAGCTGGTTCTTCAGTCATAACTTTGTGAGCCTAAAAGCATTCCTTGTTCGTTTAAATTGGGTAATAAAATGTGAATGGGAGAGTTACGGTGGATTTAATATTTCTGGGGGCAGAGTTGTTGATCCATGAAGGATTTTAAGTGGAATCCTTTTAAACTCATAACAGTTATGAAAAACAAGGTGAAGAACTTGAAGCCGTTTCTGTATTCATTTTATTCTGAAGGACCTACACCTTAGGTAAATGTTCTGACCAATGAATTGAACCGTGCCCACATCCTGTGCTGAAGGTCTGAGTTTAACTGGTCAACATTTAAATGGATCGGAGCTATTAGTGCATCAAGTGATGTTGATTTGTTTCAACTCTCTCCCCTCCTTCATGCTCTTTTTGGTTTGTATGTGGTTTCTCAGTTAATACATAGCTAATAGCTCTTATTTTTCTTAAGTTTTTTAACTGCTTAGGTCTTTCTGGATGTAAGGGTAAAAATCCATTTGACAGAAAACTTGTGTATATTTAAAAACCCAACTGCTCCCCTGGAGCTTGTACGTTCAAGAATGATTAATCTGTGTAATAAACTGATTACTACAGTCATTACATATAACTTTGTGTGAATAGGCTTTTAATTATTAAGAGCAGTTTGTTACAGGCTGAAACTAACGATGGATTTCTCTAGAACTCCTGCATTCACAAACGGTTGCATTTGAAAATCATGAAGCAGTTTGGTTTGCATCACACAAGGCTATGCACCCGAATGAGGCAGACGTGAGCTGGAGCTCTCACACCAGAGCAGGATGTGTATTGTGCCAGGAACCTGACTGTTAAAACCAAATAAGCAGCTTACTTAAAGAGAATCAGTGACATTTTACAGAGCCTAATGGTATTATTCCCACTTGCATGGGACCTAACACAATGCATATGTACTGTAGGTAAATGAAACCTTATGTAATTAAGATAATGGATGTAAAAGGGTATTAAAAAAAAAAAAAAAAACAAACTACCAAACACATCAGCACAAACTTTCATAAAATGTAGCTTTTACATAATTACTTTGCACTAAACATTTGCAAATGTTCATACACTTTTAAATTGTACTTGTATGTGTCTTTTTTGAACAAAGTCTTCACTTGAATCTAGTGAAAAATGTAGTTTGGAACTTTTCTTTGTATACAAGTGTATTTGCCAGCATCATTCGTGTGAATAGGTGAGTCTGCAAGTTTCTCCTCTTAGTATAATTGTAAAAAAAGCCATCGACTATACAGGAGAGGCTGTGGCCTCCAGCTCTGCCGCCACAGGAGTGTGTCCCATCCATTCTCAAATGCATCTTTACACTCTTGCACAAATGAGGAATAAATGTCCACTGCCTTTGGTCTAAACCTGTTCTGCTCGTCTCATCTCTCGGTGTCCTCGTGTGCACACCTGCAGCTGTCAGTGTGAGCTGTGTGTTTTGGAGTCCTCTGTGCAGAGCTGTAGGTGGCGCTGAGCTACACGTGCATCTCCTGCAGGCATGAGGGCTGCTGCCTCTCCTGCTGCAGGCAGAGGGCTGGGCAGAGGTGTGACGGAGCTGCAGGTGAGGGGAGCAGTGACATGCAGGCTGTGAGCTGCTCCTGGATGCCGTGCGCTGTGCCACGAGGCCTCCGCACTGCTTGGAAAAGCGGTAGGTGCCCATTGCTGCAGCACAGCCCTGGCTAAGAACCTGCTGGAACTGGAATGCATGCTGGTGGCTGCACGCCTGCCTGAGGCATCTGCTTTTGTCTCGTCCTTTTCCTGTGTCTGGCCTTACCTGGGGCTGAACTCTTCTGTGTGCAGGCTGATGCTCCTGCAGCCCTGTGTGGTGCATGGAGGGAGCACAAAGCAGCTGTCCTGGAGCCATCCCTGCTCTCCTAGCAGGATCAGCAGCATCCCGTTCTCCTCACAAGGCCGAGGCCATCCCTGTTCCCCTCGCAGGGCTGCCATCTGCTGCTTGGAGACGGCAAGGAGAGCGGGCTGGAGATGGGAGCCTTGCAGCAGGTAGGATGTAGGATTCCCCTCGGCTGCTTACTGGTGAGCCACCTGAGCAAGGCTTCTCTAATAGAGGGCTCTGTTTTCTGACCTAGCAGCTGCTGGAGGAGTTCTGGAGGTGTCAGGAGAGCTGTGAGGGCAGGCAGCGGAGTGCTGACAGGCACAGGAGTGCAGCTGGCAGCAGAGCAGCTGCATGGCAGTGTAGCAGTGAAGGCCCAGATAACAGCTTCAGCTTAGATGTATCCCATTTAGGACGACTGTTCCCTTTGAAATGAAGCAGTTTGGAGTCCCTCATCGAGAGCATGGCAAACACTGTGGTTCAGGAAAAGCAAGCTGAAATGAGAGGTGTTTCTGATGGGTGCTGTCCTGTGTGGGTTTGTCCAGGAGAGCCTTCCAGGATTTGGCCAGGAGCCTTCCATAGGGCCAGGAGCTGCTCTGAGCCTGGCTGTGCTCTGATGTGCTCAAATAACCGGGAAGCCGTGGGCTCAGCTTGGTGAGTTCCTGGGAGCCACAAGTTTGTGACACAATGAACTTCTTCACTCTGTCCATTCTTAACTTGATGTATTTTCACTACTTCACTCCGCATGGCTCACTTTGCACTGACGCTTCCATGGGGTGCACCACTGCTCCAGCAAATGCTTTTTTTCAATCGAAGTGTTGGATAGCTTGGGTGGGTGCAGCTGTGGCAGTGCTGTGCTGTGCCCATCAGCACTCAGTGCTGGCACAACAGCACCTTCCAGCACCACTCCGCCAGGCAGAGCACTGCTGTTTGGGTGTGCAGGGACTGGCTGCATGCTGTGCTGTACTTGTGCACCATCCTGTGTGTTTCAGAAACTTCTCAGTGCTCCTGTCCCATGCTGTCATTGTGCAGGAGTTGCCCTTTGGCTCACCAGGTGATGTCCTGGCCCAGAGGCCAACAGAGCTGCTGAGGTTGGAGCTCAGCCCGGCTCCTGGAGGCCGATGGCTCTCGGCGCTGCCTGCAGCTCAGCCTCAGTGCCACGCAGCCTTTTGGCAGCACAGGAATCACGTCTGCCTTGAGTTGCAGTGTTTCCAAGTCAGCAGTGTACTGAAGCGTCCGCAGCTTTTCCTCTTTGCTCTGGGTGCATCACATGGAGGTGTGGGATGGCAAACAGGAGCTGATTCCCTGCCCCGGCAGCCCCAGCTGCTGCTGCATTGCTGTGCGTCCTGGCAGCCCTTCTGCTCCCCGGGCCGCTTGCAGCAGCAGAGCCGTGCGGCCACTTGGGTGCAGCATCGGGCGGCGTTCTTCGTGCCCTGCCGGGAGCTGCAAGGCCCGGCCCTGTGCGAGATGCGTTCCTGTGTCACAGCTCAGCTGAGCGCACTGCGCTCCGGTGCAGGCAGTGCTGCTGGAAAAACCAAGGAGAGCCCCGAGGGGTGCGTGACCTCATCCTTCAGCGATAGCGAAGCGCCTCCAGCTCCTGCGCCCAGCCAGAAGTTCCCTTCCCAGCCCCAACCTGCCGGGTTCTTCCCCTCCTCTGCCCCGCGCTGTACGGGCAGCGCGAGCGGCGGCCGTTGGGGGTGAGTCAGAGCTGAGCGCTGCGGGGAATGCGGGCGGACCAGAAATGCCGTCGGGGTGCGTGATGGAACGTTCGGGATGGGACAGCCCGGCTCTGTGGGTGTCTGCAGACCCTGCACGTGTCCTCCCCGCAGCGTGTGCGCACCTGGAGCTGCTCTGACCCCGCTGTACTGCTGTAACCTGCTGCCGTGTGGTCGCCATTAAACGATGCCGTTCAACTCACCGTGCCTGGATTGCTTTTTTGCTCTTTTTGCCCATTTCTGAGCTCGCCTCGGCTTGTTTCTTTTCTCTCGTGATGTGTGTCTGTCACCCCCGTCCTCCTGTCCCCGCCCATCCCTGCGGTGCCCGGGATGCTCTGCCCAGCCCCGGGGCTGTGTTTGCGTTCCTGCCCTTCTGCGGTCGCGTGTCTGTGGCTGACGCTGCTCTATGGGTGTCTCTTCGAATCAGGCATGTGCCCGTCCGCGTTTCTTCTTTGGGCCACGCGGAGCAGCCCGAGCGGAGCGCTTCTGCCCCGCAGCGCAACGGGCGGACTGCGGTGCGGCCATGGGGCGGCAGCAGAGCTCCGGGAACGGCGCCCTCTCCGCGAGGCTGTCCGGTTCGGGCTGTGTTTTCTTTCTTTTTCATTTTCGGTCCTTTTATTTGTCCTATTTTCTTTTTCCCTTTCTCTTCTATTTCTTCTGGTTTTCCCCCTTTTCTCTTTAACACGTGATGCAGTGCCCCCGGTGACCCGCCCCCCCACTGCGCTGCTGCAGGGGTGCGGTTGTTCATGGGATCAGGGGGCGTCCTATGTCAGGGGCTGACCCTATGTTGGGGGTGATTCCTATGTTAGGGGGTGTCCCTGGGCCTGGGGCGTCCATACGTCGGGGGTGATTCCTATGTAGGGGTGTCCCTGTGTCAGGGGCTGACCCTGTTTTGGGGGCTGACTCTGACGGTGGCTGTCCATGGGGTCAGTGGTGTCCTATGTCGGGGGCTGTCCCTGGCTTGGGGAGTGCCCCTGTGTCAGGGGTGCCCTTATGTCATGGGTGTCCCCTATACCGGGAGATGTGCCTATGCCGAGGTGTCGTAATGTCAGGGGTGTTCCTGAGGCGATGCCCCTATTTCAAGGGATGCCCATGTGGTCAGTGGTGTCCCTGTGTCGGGGCTGTCCCTGGGTCCCGCCGTGCCGTCGTACGCCGGTTATCAACGCCGCGTCTGCAGCAGCTCCGCAGGCATTTCTGGCCGTGCCATGTCGTGCCATGTCGTGCCGCGCCACTCCACGCCGTGACAGCCGCATCCCCACGCAGCCGCCCCCCGACGCCTCCGGCAGCTGCGTGCGGCGGTGCGGCGGTGCGGCGGTGGGGCCGCTCAGCTGCCGCTTTGAAGCGCCGCGCTGCCATCTGCGCGATGCAAATCCCGCGCTGCCCGCGGCGTACGGAGCGCTTCCGGAGCCGCGACGGAGGGGGCGGCGGTGCTGCGGCTGCTCCGCCCTCCGGCACCCGCGGCGGCTCCGGGCCGGGGGGGGCAACGCGGGCGTCCGCGGGGAGAAACCCCAAACGCACGAAAGGAGGCGTCGGCAGCGCGGATGGGGCCGGGACGGAACGGGGCCGCCGCGGATCCCCGGCACTCTGGTGCCCCCCCCCAACGCTGACTGTCACAGGGCAGAACCGCAGCTGCCCCCTCCCGCTCCCCCCCTCCTTTCGCAGCGCTCTTTAAATGCAAATCCGGAGGCGAAGTAGCGGACACCCCCCGCATCCCCCCCCCGTCCCCGTCCCCGCTCCGGGGCTGCGCGGAGGGGGCGGCGCGGAAGCAGCGAGCGGCCCCGGGGAGCTGCGGGCGGCGGGGCGGGCGTGGGGCTCCCCCGGCTGCGGAGCCTCGTTAATATTGGAGGAGCTCTTTGTCCGCGGGGGCCGGGGCGGCTCTCGCAATCGCCTTTCATCTCCGCGAGGCCGCGGCTCGCTCTTATCTACCGCTTCCTCCGCGCCGCGCCGCTCTCGGGGCGTTTCATGATTTCTTTTCCCCTGGCAGGGCTGGAAAAAGCCCATCGGCTCCCGGGCAAAGGGCGCCGGGCCCCCCCCGGCCCCCGCCCCGCCGCGCCGCGCTCACCGTCCCCGCGTTCGTCACCCGGACTCTGCCCCGCGCCGCCCCCAAGGCAAACACGCGCGGTGCGGGGCGGTGCGGGACGCGGCCGCGCGGCGCCGTGTGCGGAGCGCTCCGGGCGGTGATACGCGATCCGCGCTGCCGCGACCTTGCGGGAGGAGGAAGGGCACGCGGCTCTCCCGGCGGCAATTCAATCCCCCTCCCCGGGCGCGGCCCCGCGGAGATGCGCTGAGCGCTGCGCGCCCCGACGGCACCGCGCTGTGCCCCCCCGGCGCCGCCCGCATTGCACGGGGGGGTCCTTCCCGCCGCCTCGGGGGCACAAAACTGTACGAGCGCCGGGCAGTGCCCCCGGTCCCCCGCCCCCATTTCTTTTAATGCCGACGCTCGGGACGCATTAACGCAGCGGGAGCGTCCGGCGTTCCAAAGGCAGTGAATGCCACATCCGAAGGGGCGCGGGAGAGGGAGGGGGAGGGGGGGGGGTCC